GCTGGTTTCAAACTCCTGGGCTCAAGTGATCCTCCCACATCACCCCCTCGAAGCACTGGGATTATAGACATGAGCCACCACAGCCAAACTGATGGGTGCTCCTACTGGTCAGGCCCATGATGTGGCTGGGGACCGTGAATCATCACCACAACCCTAGGATGAAGGTGCTATCATTCCTCTAGGTGAGAAGTTAAGGCTCAGAGAGGTTAAGTTACTTGCCCATGGTCAGAAAGCAGGGACATGGTAGAGCTTACATTCAAATCCAAGAAGCAGGAATTCTGCACATTTTTTTTTTTTTTTTTTGAGACAGAGTTTCACTGTTGCTGCCCCAGCTGAAGTGCAGCAGTGTGATCTTGGCTTACCACAACCTCTGCCTCCCAGGTTCAAGCGATTTTCCTGCCTCAGCCTCCCGAGTAGCGAAGATTACAGGCATGCACCACCATACCTAGCTAATTTTGCATTTTTAGTAGAGACGGGGTTTCTCCATGTTGGTCAGGCTGGTCTAGAACTGCTGACCTCAGGTGCTCCACCTGGCTCGGCCTCCCAAAGTGCTGGATTACAGGCATGAGCCACCGTGCCCGGCTGGAATTCTGCACTTTTAGTGATCACATTATAAGAGACTGCTCTGGCATTGGCTGGGTGGGGGGTCTCCTAGCACTATTGGGGGAGGGTATCTCCAGCAACTCAGAGGGCCCCCGGCTGTGGCAGGAGCTGTACCTTGGCAGGGATGGAGGCAGGGTGGTTCTCAAAGAAGAGGCGCTGGAGACAGTGAATCCACAGCCTCTTCTCTTCTTGGTTCTTGGCCTGGGGGCGGGATGGAGTCGAGTCAGGGGCCAGGTGTGAGGTCTTAAGGCTGGGAGTATCCCTACCAGGCTGGCCTCACTACGTGCTCACCTGGAGCAGGTGCCTGTGCTTGGGAATGGTCAGATCAGACACCTTGAATCCCAGAGGGTCTCGGGGACTCTCGCTCACACTCAGATTGCAGCACTGGAAGGAAAGAGAGGGGCAGCAAGCTCAGAGACCTTGGGCTCAGCGATTCCCCTTGCACAGATAGCCTTGGATGCGTATCCGGATCCTACTCCCTGGGAAGATGTGTCCCACAAGGCTGTGTGGTAGGTTTCCTCTCCCTTTTGTTTGCTTTTTTTTTTTTTTTTGAGACATAGTCACACTCGGTTGCACAGGCTGGAGTGCAGTGGCGCGATCTCGGCTCAATGCAACCTCTGCCTCCCAGGTTCAAGCAATTCTTCTGCCTCAGCCTCCCCAGTAGCTGGAATTACAGGCACTGGCCACCATACTTGGCTAATTTTTGTATTTTTAGTAGAGATGGGGTTTCAACATGTTGGTTATGTTGGTCTCAAACTCCTGACCTCAAGTGATCCACACACCTTGGCCTCCCAAAGTGCTGGGATTACAGGTGTGAGCCACTACGCCCAGCCTTCTTCCTTTGTTTCTTAAGTGGGGCAGCTTTCATTCTATACACTAGAAAGCAAGCCTCCCTTGGATTCCATTCTCAAACACAAGAAAATGTAGCAGGGTCCCCTGGCCCACCCTGTTGGGCACACGGGTACAAGTATGCGGGATATACTTTGCAGGTAATGTTCTAGCCCCACCCCATCCCGAAACTCACAAAGATGTGGCCTTTGTAGGTGTACTCCAGCCCCCTGCGCTTGGCCACCAGCAGCATCCGAGAGAACAGGAAGAGCAGCCGCTCACCCCCTCGCAGCCGGGGGCCACCCCCTCCACCTCCTCGGAATGAGCCCTCCAGCACCAGCTCCCCAAAAGCACTCAGCTCCGGGCCAGTCCAGCCACCCAGTCGCCGCTGCACTTCCTGCCAGGACCCCGCCAGGTGCGCCAGGCACAGAGACGAGCATAGGTAGGTGTCACACACACACCAAAACAGGGGGGTTAGCAACAGGGCCATGCTGTGTCCCAGCCAACCCTCCAAGGCTACCTTTGAGGCACTGATCCCCCCACCCACCCCCAAAACCCCCTTGCTCACTCCCTTTTCCAGTCAGCCCAGCCCACCCTGGGGCCACCTGGAGACGCGCCGCGTGCTCCTGTTTGCGCTTCATGTCGTTGATGTACCAGGCAACTGCTGTCATGGACACGATAGCTTCCTCCACCATCTCTCGGCCCCCGGCCCCTGGGCCCTCTGCCCAGTGTTTCCCTAGTTCCTGCCAGGCAGCCACCAGGTACGCAGGGATGAGAAAAACAGAGAAGGAGAAAGAGAATGAGAGTAACAGGAGATGGAGCACTATAAAGGTGGGGCAAAGGCCGGGTGCGGCAGCTCGCGCCTGTAATCCCAGCACTCTGGGAGGCTGAGGCAGGCGGATCACCCGAGGCCAGGAATTTGAGACCAGCCTGGCCAACATGGTGAAACCCTGTCTCTACTAAAAATAACTTAAAAAAAAAAAGGCTGGGCATGGGGGTGGGAGCCTGTAATCCCAGCTACTCGGGAGGCTGAGACTGGAGAATTGTTTGAACCAGGGAGGTGGAGGTTGCAGTGAGCTGAGATTGTGCCATTGCACTCCAGCCTGGGCAAAAAGGGTGAAACTCCCTCTCAAAAAAAAAAAAAAAAAAAAAGGTAGGGGCAGAGATGGAGAAAGACAAACAAGCAGAGACAGGAAGTAGAATAATCTGGTGCCAGGCGCCACTGCCAGCAAGACCCTACACCAAACACTGGTCCACTTTCTTTCCTTTTTTTTTTTTGAGACAGAGTTTCGCTCTTGTTACCCAGGCTGGAGTGCAATGGCTCGATCTTGGCTCACCGCAGCCTCCGCCTCCTGGGTTCAGGCAATTCTCCTGCCTCAGCCTCCTGAGTAGCTGGGATTACAGGCACGTGCCACCATGCCCAGCTGATTTTTTGTATTTTTAGTAGAGACGGGGTTTCACTATGTTGACCAGGATGGTCTCGATCTCTTGACCTTGTGATCCACCTGCCTCGGCCTCCCAAAGTGCTGGGATTACAGGCGTGAGCCACCGCGCCCAGCCTCTTTCCTTGTTATTTTACTTTTTTTGGAGACAGGGCCTTGCTCTGTCCCAGACTGGAGTGCAGTGGCACAATCACATCTCACCACAGCCTCCAACTCCTGGGCTCAAACAATCCTCCCACCTCAGCCTCCGAGTAGCTGGGACTGCTGTTGTAAGCCGCTGTGCCCGGCTAATTTTGAAATTTTTTTATACAGGCAGGGTTTTGCTATGTTGCCCAGCCTGGTCTTGAAATAATGGGCTCAAGTGATCTTCCCACCTCAGCCTCTCAAAATGCTGGGATTACAGGTGTGAGCCACTGCACCCGGCCCACTGGCGCAGTTTCTAGGGACTGGATCCCTGCCCAGGTGCACAGCTTGGTACAAAGTCAGAGGACACCTCCTCAGGCCTTGCCCAACTCGGGGGGGGGTCCACCCTCCAGATGCAACAACAGGTGGTCAAGGGATGGGACCTCGCCCTCCCCGGCCTGGCTCTGGGGACCCCAGCCGACCTGCAGCAGCAGATGGTACTTGAGGATGCGCTGGACGGGTTTCAGTAGGAAGCTCTGCAGGGGCAGCGAGTGGCGAAGCTGGGCCTGGCGCTCCTGCAGCCAAAGGGCTGCTGGTGGAGACAAGGACAGCTCCCGGAGTAGGGCCAGGGAGCTGGGGGCACAGCACAGGTCAGTGGTGGTTGTCAGTTCCAGTGGGCGGGGCCAAGAGGGGTTGGGGAGGGGCCAGGGTTTGGGAAGGGTAGAGGTCTGACAGGGGGCGGGGCAGTGAGGGAGAGGTCAGTTACTGTCACAGCCTGGAAGGGGTCGGTGCTGGATGGGTCGGGGGTAGAGGGAGGGTGACTGGCACATCAGCTTGTGGGCACGGCCTGAGGCCCAGCAGGGGCTCCTGCCCCTCACCTCGGGTAGTTCATGCAGTACAATGTGTAGATGTCAAAATCCTCGCTCTGCGGGTGACATGGGAGTCAGGGAGACCCCAGGTCCCAGCTTCCCATGACCCCCCTTCCAGCCTAGCCCAAGCCTGCTCTCCCCCTCTACCAAGGCCCCCCACCCCTCCACTCACCCGCTGCACGAAGCACTCGGCAATGCCCCCGGCGCTGCTGGTGCTCTCCAAGTCCTCTAGGAGCTCACTACAGAGGAGAGGGGAGGGTGAAGAACCGCCTGTCTCCACGAACCTCCCCATGGGAGGCCTACGGGAGGCCGATGCCCCAGCGGTCTGCTGAGGCTGGGGGCTTGCTGACTGCCAGCATCTCCTAAGGGGATGTCACATCTGGAGGAAGGGTCCTCTCAGGGCTACACGGGACATGGTAACCTGCTTAGACTTTGTCCCTGGACAGCTTCTCATTCTCCAGCTTGAACTGGTGTCACCGCTGGCGTGAGCCTAGGGGTGTCATGTCATGACTCAAAGAGCTAGGATGATCTTAAGATCCTGCTATAATCCCGAGACCTCATCAAGGCACTTGAAAGTGTCATGATCCTCAGACCCCAGCTTCCTCCTTACCACAGTGACCATCCTGGTTTGTCCGGGATCAAGCAGTTTCCTAGGATGAAGGCTTTCAGTGCTAAAGCTGGAAAAGTCCCAGGCAAATCAGGCTTAGGGGGTCACACGCATGCTCACGCTGTCCCGGCCTTCAGGCCCCAAGTGATTTTTGGATCCATCGTGAGCTCAGACCTGACACAGCCTCGAGACCTCCTCCTGATGCTGGAACCCTGTCCCAGTGTTTGGGCTTCATCTGGGTCCTCTGACTCCCATCTCCTATGGCCCTCCCTCACTCTGGGTTCTCACTCCAGTCATGATCCCTGCTCCCTGCCCAATGTCACAACCCCATGTACCAGCCTGGACAGAACACTATGAAGCTCCAAGATTTGGATTAGGACATAATAGACCTTCCAACCAGTCAAAGCCCTCCCCCCGCCTGTCCCACCTGCCCCTGACCTGCTGAACTCGTAGATGTCTTCTATGTTGGCAAACAGCGTGCCCACCTGCTCCATGCTCAGCCCCAGGACCCCGCCGTCCAGCAGAGGGCCCAGGTAGTCCTGCGGGGATGACTGGGGTTACCAGGGCCAAGGGGCTGGCCTGGGTACCCACTGCCCTCGGGTGTCTGCCCGCCTTACCTCCACAATGCTGCGCAGGTCCCTGACGTAGGCCCGCTCTGTCTCCACGATCTCTCGGGCCACACGCTCCAGCCTTGAGGGTTTGGCTGAACCTGTGATCCCCACCGGAGAGAGATGTAGGCGGATGGGGGGCCCTGGAAGGGGCTCTGGCTTGGAGGCTGAGCAGGCTGGGGTAGGCCCCGGGGCTGGGTCTCCCTCAGAGCCCACTGTGCTCAGGGATGTGGAACTCCCGGAACCTCGGGGGGAGGCCATGGCAGGGGCTGCAGGAGCTGCTGGGGTGTGGAACAGGAGGTCAGAGGAATCTCCCCCCACACCGACTCCCACAGCCTTTCATGCATTCAGCCCCCACCCTCACCCGCACCTGGCCAACAGCACGCCCACTGGCTCCTTCCTCCCTCCCGACTGCCCTCCTTGGTCTAGTCCCATCCTGTCCTATCAGGGTCATCTCTGGTCTTCTGGCCTCCATTACTCTAATCCACCTCCATGAATCAGCCAGGTAGACCTTTATTAATTTGTCCATCTGACTGTGTCACTCCCGTGAGTATAACACCTTCATGCCCCTCGAGATAAAGTCCAAACTCCTCAGATCCCCAGGGCACTGGGCAATGTGGCTGACACAAATTCCTCCAGCCAGCTCTCCTCCCACAGCCACCCCTCTTCTTACACTCTGCATTCCATTGACACTCAACTTCTTTCAGTCTCCTACATGTAGCCTTTTCTTATCTCTGGGCCTTTGCACATGCTGTTCCTTGCATGTGGAATACTCTTCCTTGTCTTTGCCCAACTCCTTCCCCCTAATTTTCCACTTCTCAGTTGAGATGTTCCCACTGCCAGGACCCTTCCCCTGACTTTCCAGGATGGGAGGATCCCCCATCACAGCCCTTACCACTCTGCCCAGCGCTGCCCACTCTGGCCATGTCATTGCCTGGGGATGCGGCCGCCTCCCTCATCCGCCTCCCTCACCCGCCTCGGAGCTCAGTGCGAGTTGGCCTGGGGCTGTCTCGATCATCCAGCGTTGCCAGCCTTGCCCAGGAATAAATGCCCCACAGGCTCCGCCCCTGCCTCTGGGCTCACCTGTCCGAGTCTCACACACAGTGGCACAGTCACAGACTTCGCCTCTTCGGCCACACCCGAGGCTTGGGCTAGGTTTGGAGAGGCTCAGTCCTTGGGCTCCCTCAGGCATGGCTGAGCGGCCCAGCAGGGTCCTGTAGAAAGACCCCCTTCTTGGCTATCAGGACCCCATGGGCCTCTCCACCAACCAAACTCACAGATGGGGGCTGGGAATGAGGAGCGTGTTCTAAATCCAGGGAGGGGCTCCTGGGAATCACTAACTGGGGAGGCACAAAGTGACAGAAAGAAGGGGACAAGGAGAGAGAACCTGGGGAAAAAGATGGAAAAGCTGAGACAAAGAAGAGTGAGCGGAGCAGGAGGCGCAGACGCTGCGAGTCCCGTTTGTCTGGGGCCAGAGGCTTAGGGATCCTGGGAACGTTTGGGCTCTGGCTGGAGCGGAGGGCGAGGGGCAGGGCTGGGAAAAGCCGTGGGCGGGAGGCCGCGGGGTCCCAAGGGAGGGCGGAGGCTGGGGGACCGGATGCCAGGGTCCTGCAGACGGCTCCCTCCCCCGCCGAGGGGTGCGCGCTGGGGCGCTGGCCCGGAGCCCTCGCTCCCCCTCCGGCCGGTCCCCCTCGAGCCCCGAGCGCGGTCCCCACAGCCGCAGCCTCCCCAGCGCCTTCCCACACCCCTCCAGCCCCCAACTCCAGCCGGCGCCTCGGCTCGCCCCCCGACGGCACGCCCCCTCATTGTTCCGCAGCGGCGCCGCCCCCTCCCCCAGTCCGCCTGGGCCCCTCGCCTCCCGCTCACCTCCCGGGGAGCCTCGAGCCCCGGCCCAAGGCAGCCTGGCTCCTGCGCGACCCCGACGCGGTCCCGGGAGAGGTTCGGAGGCCGGACTCAGGGGCGTGAACTTCGGGCTCTCAGGCTCCAGGAACAGAATCTGGGGTCTCTCAGAGAGTGGGGTCCCACAGTCGGAATTTCTCTGTGTTCTAAGTGGGGGATGCTAGGAGCCTCGACTCTGGAGTCTCAGATGGGGGCGCTGGGGACCCACATTCCTGAGTCTTCTAGGTAGGGCTGTGGGGTGGGGGGTGGATTCCGGAGTTCCCCTAACTCTAGGGGCAGGGATGAAACTCCCTCTAGGTGGGAGCACAGGGGGGGTCCCAAAGTCTTGGGTCCCCTTTCAGTGATGGACGCTGCAGCCCAAAACTGGATGGGGGGCTTAGAAGTTCGAATCTCAAGTTCCTCCAATGCGGGGTCTTGGGATTGGAGCCAAGAAGGGAGTCTGCGGTCCTGGATCCTGAGTTCTTGAAACGGGGGTGCGGGGCGCTCGGCCTCCAGGGTCCCGCGAGCTGACGTCTAGGGCTCCCGGCTGCTCCAGGAGGGGGCGCTGGGCACCTGGATGGCTCAAGTCCTCCAGCCTGGGCGCCCGGGCCTGGGCTTCGGGGTCTCTCAGGATGCCGAGCAGAAATTCTGGACGCCGGGGTCCGAACCTCTGGACCCCTCGGGCTCCCAGCTGGGTGTCACAGGGCTTGAGTGACGGCGGCGGCGCCACATCTGGGGCGGGAGAGTCCGGTCCCAGCTGTGCAGCGGGGGGCGGTCGCCCGGGGCTTCCCCTCCCCCTCTGTCGCCCCGGCTCACATCCTGTTCCCGCCTGCGGGGGGAAGGGGCTGCCTTCCGGCCGGCCCGCCCGCGAAGGGTTAAGGCTTCAACCCCCCCCTTATTCTGAATATTCATGAGGAGGCGTGTCCTCTGGGTAGGCGACTCCTCTACATTCCAAACGCCTCGCGGACTTTTTCCTTTTACAGCAAGGGCCGCGAGGCGTGAGAATCCGGAACTGACGAAGGACTGTGTCCTATTGGTAAATCAAAAGTTTTAAATCTGCATATGCAATACAAGGCGGGGCCGTCCGGTGAGGTCACGTGGCCATGAATGACTGAAGGACTCCCCGGCGAAAGGGTGCGGCCAGAGCTCCAGTGGCGCAATCGGTTAGCGCGCGGTACTTATATGACAGTGCGAGCGGAGCAATGCCGAGGTTGTGAGTTCGATCCTCACCTGGAGCACTCTTTTTCTTTTGCCTCTCCCAGCACTTTTAATTTTTTTCTCATCAGTTCTTATAAACTTATACATCTTATAAACCAACCAAAACGTCTACATCACTTAGATGAATGAACATTTCCATCTTTTGAATTATTGGGCCCAAAAGACTTCTAGGGTTTTGGTGACAGTCCCTTGTTTGCTCTGTATTGTAGGAAGGTGCGGTTTCCATCCTAGCCACCAGGTGGGGGTATCGTCTCTTATTAGATGCTTTGGGCATGGAATTTAGTCTGCAAATAGTTTGACTTCTGTAGAGATATGGGTCCTGGGTAAGCTGTATATGGCTCTCCTCTGCATATTTCTCTGTCTCTTTTTAATGCCTCTTTTACGATGAACGTATTTACCGGTATTGGAGTTTTCCACCTCTGTTGAAAAGGAAAACTGTTTCCTTTCCGGTTCTGAGTCTTGATTTTTCAACAAATACTGAACATTCACTATGTGCCTGGCCCCCTTTAGTTGTGTGTAATACAGCAGTGAGTGTCACAGGGCTCGAGAAACAGAGCCTTGGACACGGAAAGAACAAGAAAGACATCGCTCGTTCTTCCTTTAGCCAGATCAGATTCTCTCGCCCTTCCCCAAAGAATCCCTCATGTAAGGAAACAGCACCTCCCACCAGCTCCCACCTCCCAAGGGCACATCCCTGCCCCTGAGGACCTGACATTATAGTGGGGAGGCATATTGCTGTAAACAAAAGAATTGAGAACATTTGAATGTTAGGTGATGATAAATGTCTTGGAAAAAGTCCAGCAAGGTAGGGAAGATGGGTAGTTGGAGGTGGGGTGTGGATTGCCAACAGCAATGGTCAGGGAGGATCTCATAGATCAGGCAACTTTTGAGCAGAGACCTGAAGGAGGGGAGTGAGCCATGAGGACCCCAGGGGAGTGCTCAGGCAGAGGGAACAGCTAGTGCAAAGCTCCTGCGGATGAAGCAGACCAGCTAGGAGGCCAGTGTGCCTGCAGCAGAGTGGTCAAGGGGGAGGGTAAGCGATGGGTGCCAGACTGTGTGGGCTGTGGGGAGCACTTAGGACTTTGACTTTTACGTGATCTGACTCAGGTCTCATAACAGGCTTCCTCTGGTTGTCTCTTGGGGAAGTGGGGAAAGCGGAGACTGAGGGCAGAGGCTGGAGCAGAGACTGATGGGCTGCTATGAAGATGCAAATGGGAGACGTTGTTGGATAGGAACCGGGTGGGGGTCATGGTGGGGGCAGGTGGATTGTGGATCTATTTTGCAGGTGGATCACACAGGATCGCTGTCGGCCTGGGGTATGGGTTTGAGAGCAAGGTGCCAAGAGGTACTCCCGGGTGTCTGGCCTAAGCCCTGGTAGCTGATGGGAGATGCCGTTTTCTTACATGAGGGATTCGTTGGGGAAAGGTGAGAGAATCTGATGGGACTAAAGGAAGGACTAGCGCTATCTCTTTTTTGTTCTTTCCGTGTCCAAGGCTCTGTTTCTGCGAATGTCTCTGCCTGCTTGCTCCTGCTCTAGCTCTCTGCCCCTCCTACGCCCTTGCATCGCAGGGGTTCTGACTCCCTCTCGCCTGACCCTCTTCTACTTATCAGGGCCTGAGCCCTTTCCCACAAGGGAGGCAGTTTCCTGGAAGAAGAGACCAAAGGTCAGTGGGCCAGGGGAGACGGCCAAGGAGGCCTGAGAGCAGGAAGGAGGCTTGAGGAAGGGAGACAGAAGGGAGAGGAGGGAAGGGGCTGGAGAGGGAGAGAAGAGGAGGAGGACTAAGGCTGGGGGTAGGGAGGGAGAGGACAGTGGGGAGTGAGAGGGCAAGTAAAGGGTGGAGAGGAAAGGAAGGACAGAAAAAGGGAGAGAAGGGAGACAGGAAGGAGGAGAAAGGGGGTAAGAGACGGCAGGATGGGGAGGCTGCAAGTGGGAGGGAGGAGCAATGAGGGAGGGACGAGTCGGAGGGTAGAGAGAAGAGCTGAAGGCAAAGGGCGTAGGGCGGGGCAGGAGGGTGCAGAGGAGGAAGTGAGGAGGAGGAGGAGGGGTGAGGGTAGGGAAAGGAGAGAAGAGGGAAGCGGGAGGGAGGAGGAGGGGCGAGGGGGGCAAGGAGAAAAAAGAGGGGCAGCGGGGGGCGAAGGCTGGACGGCAGGGCCAAGCCGCAGGCGCTGACGCAGGGCGGCTTCCGGGCGCGGGGCGCTGGGCCCCGCGGCTGGTCCCGACGCCGCTGGCCTTGTATGGTCGGAAGACGCAGTTCCCCCGGGGCCCCTCCTAGACGCGCGGCCCCTACTACCCACACGCCCTGGCCTCGCGGGGCCAACCCTGGTGGGTGTCTGAGGCCTCGGGTTTCCAAGGTTCGGAAATACCAAGATCCGGTAATTCCTGGGCTCCAGCGTCCCGGGTGGCCAAAAACCTGCAACTCCAAGCCACCAGGGCTCTAGAGTCTAAAGCGCCAGGGGACTTAACCTGAGACTCCTAAATGTTGAGATCCTAGACTCTTGAGACCCTAAAACCCGCTTCCCCACAACATCCCGAAGGCGTCGAAGCCCCCCGGAACCCGAGTCCCGAAACGGGTTCCGTTACCCCAGGCTGTCCCGCCCCGCGCCCGCCCCCGCTCGCCCTGGGCGCGCGCCCCAGCACATTCCGTCCTCTCCACCCGGCCCCTCCCGCCTCCCGCGGCCCCGTGGGGACGGAAACATCCCGTACCCGCTTGCGCGCGCCCGCCAGAGTTGGGTCAAGGAGCCCGGCAAGACGGGAGCGCGGCCCCCCCGACGCCCGGGAACTGGCTCCCCCGGTTCTCATCTGGTGACCTCACCTGGTCCCACCCTTTCAGGTGAACGGCCAGGCCCGGTGACGTCACTTCCTGCCAGGTGAGCGCCGCGGGGCTGGGAGGAGCAGAGTTGACTGGTTCCAAAAAGTCACCCCTTCCCTCCCCATTCTTGTCTCTAGACCGCGAAGAAGCGAGGATCCCAGCTTACACGCAGATTCCGTTTATTTAAAAATTTCCAAAAACACAAAAATAGACTTTTAAGGTAACAATATATATTACTAAATATATTATTATAGTCTACTTATAATAATTATACCGTCGTTTCCAATATTACAAAAAAAGAGGAAGAAAAATACGAGGGAAGCAGACGACCCAATATATATAAATACTATAAAATCATATTAGAATAAATAAAGTCGTCATAAATAAAGACCCATTGATTCATGGGTGGGGTTTGGCAACAGCTTTGGCTACTTGCTTTTGGAGGGTAATTTGAGCACCAGGATTCCCCCTCAGGGGAGGTTCCAGTTACCAGGAGACTGGAACCTCAGATCTCTAAAAACTGGAGGGGCAGAGAAGGCCTATTATTCACAGCACGTAAGATTCCACGAAACAGATTTGCGCAGGGAAGAGGTGGGGGAGAGGGTTCATTGCCTCCCTTAAATATGCTACATTTTTTTTTTTAAGAACCTCAGAAGACACTCCATCCCCCACCACGAATACTGAGCTTGCACACTTGGGGACCTGCCCCAGCGTGAGGTCAGGGGAGTGGGTTAATGCATTCTGCAAAAAGGGGTTACTTGATTACTGTCCCCCAAGTCTCCACAGCCCTGGGTCCATGCAAAGACCACAGTGCAAGAGATGTGGCTCCCCCCCTGAGATCCAGCTGATCTGGCAGGGCAGAGTCACTTGTCATTCAGAAACAGAGATGCGATTGAAAATGGGGAGTCGCCGGGGGGCTGTTGTGGGCTGAGGTGGTGGAAAAACCCCCGCCTCGAAGACTGGAGAGTCAGAGCCCCCCAAGCTGCTACCGCTGCTGGCGTATTCATCAGGGTCAGATCCCAGGGATTGTACAGAGGGGCTTCTTACCAGGCCACCCAAGGCCCCCCCCCAGACGCTCATAGGGGTGGCCCTTCGGCAAGAGGGGCAACAGACTGGGGTGGGGTCTCTTCGAGCCACGGGAGTACCAGGGGCAGCAGAGAAAGCAGAGGGTGACAGTGGAAGGTCCCCAGGTGGTGGCGGGGAGCTGGAGGGCGAGAAGGAGCAGGACAGGGAAGGGCCGGCCAGGCCTGGCGGTGGTGGTGAGGTCCGGCGGCCGGAGGGCAGGCCAGAGAAACTGATGCTCTGGCGAAGCACAGGAGGGTGGCCCGGGGCCGCCAGGTCTTCGCTGGGGTTGTGGATGAAGTGGCAGCGAGAGCCGTAGGGGCAGCGGCCCTGGAGGTAGAACTTGTGGCAGAGTTCCGTCTTGTACTTGGGGTGGCGATTGGCTTGGCGCAGCTCGCCCAGGCCATGGGCAAACTGGCATTTGGCCCCATAGCGGCAGCGCCCACTCTCTGAGAAGGTCCGACATAGCTCAGTCTTGTAGCGGGAGGAGGTGGTGGGGGTCGCTGTGGGCGAGGTGGGTGAGGGTGACAGCTCGGGGCCCAGGTGGGGAGTCAGCGGTGCGAAGCCGGGGGGTGGGGGCACCCAGCCAAAGCTGCGGCCCTCTACCAGGCTGGTGGAGCGGCCAGGCAGGCGAGAGATGACCCCAGACGGGCTGGAGTCAGAGGGGCTCAGGCTCCAGAGTCCCGAGGAGCCCCAGCCTGGGCTGGACTCAGTCTCTCCGTGGTCGGATGGCACGGGCGCGTCAACCTTCAGCGACAGGAGGCTCTGCGGAAATGGGTCGGTTAAGGCACCTGAAAATGCAGGGCGACGCCCCACTCCAACTGCAGGGATCAAGAGCTTGCCAGGCCGGTTTGTGGGCTCCCGGCCTGAGCCCCACCCGCCCGCAGAAACTCCCAGGTTCCAGATGCCAGGAACCCAGATTTGGAGATTCCGACCGAGGCATTATCCCGGGGGACCCAGGAATTCCTGTTTCCCCGGCTGGACCAAGAGGGGTCCCCGAAGTCAGAGCGCACCACTGTTTCCCAATTTTGAGTCTCTGGGCCTCCCCGGATATGACCCACGCGTCGGGATCTCCAGTTTCACAACTGGAGAAACCGGGCAAAGTTGACCCAGGAGTCCGGATCGCTTTGGTTTAAGGGTTTTCGGAGAACTATGGTCAGGGACTGGAGAGACATAAGTCAGATCCCCCCACCCTAAGACTCCAGCCCCAGAAACGCCTCCGCGCAAAACCACGCCCTCAGCAACGACTAGGGGTGAGCCAGGTATGGGGGCCACTTCCGCCTCCAGGCAGCCTCAGTGTGAGAAATATTCTCCGACTTTCCACTTGCACGGGCCGCCCTACCCATGTTTGAGCCAAGACCCGGGAGACGCGAGCTCCGTTTCCACCTCTAAATCACCAAGCTGGTCTTGGGAGTAGAAGGCAGGGGCCCGGGGCTGGCGCGCTAGGGAGCCCCGGTTGGAGAAGGGAGGCAAGCGTCCCGGGCTGGAGCTTGCGGCTCTAGAGAGCTGGGAGTCAGGCGTGCAGGTGCCGAGTGGCGGGGACTCACCTCGTAGATGGCGGTGAGATCCATGGTGTAGCGGTTGGCCATGAGGGAGTCGGCCAAGTGTCGGAGCGCTGAAGTCAGGCTGAGGCTGGCAGGGAGAGCCGTCTTCTTATAGAGCCCGGTTGGGGCGGGGCCGGGGGCGGGGCAGGAGGGGCGCTTCCCGGACGCGCGCCCCTGGCGCAGCCTGGCTGGCCCTGGACTGGTTCCCTTCCGCCCGGCCCTGGGCCAGGACGTGCCTGAGTTTGGCCGGTGGACAGCCGCGACCGGGCGGGGAGTGCGTGGGACAGGGGTGGGGGTCGGGGTGGGGTTGCGGATGGCGGGGCGCCTGCCGAGTTTTCAGAGCTGGAGACTGAGGCTTGTAGAAGGAAACTGGGACGGAGGTGGGGGCAGGGCTCCAGGGGCAACTGACAAGGGCAGAGGCCCGATGGGGCGTGTGCGTGCGACACAGAGGGACGGGGGCGGCCAGAGACACGCAGAGGGGCACAGACAGACAGGGAGAGAGGCAGAGAGAAAAACATCAGCAGAGACGCAGAGAGGGATAGAGAGGGTGAGGAAGGGAGGGAAGGTGGGGAGAGAGAGAGAAAATCCCAGAGACAGATTCACAGGGATTAGAGGGTTGGGAGGATCACAGAAACAAACCGAAAGGGGCTGAGCGCAGTGGCTCACGCCTGTGATCACAGCACTTTTTGTGTCTCTTTTTCTTTCTTTCCTTTTTTCTTTTCTTTCCTTTTCTTTCCCTCCCTCCCTCCCTCCCTCCCTCCCTTCCTTCCTTCCTTCCTTCCTTCCTTCCTTCCTTCCTTCTCTCTTTCTCTTTCTTTCTTTTTTTCTCTTTCTTCTTTTTGAGAGACAGGATTTCCCTATGTTGCTAAGGCTGATCTTGGGCTCCTGAGCTCTAGTGATCCTCCCACCGCGGCCTCCCAAAGAGCTGGAATTACAGGTGTGAGCTGCCAAGGTCCGCCAATCCCAGCAATTTGAGAGGGTGAGGCGGGTAGATTATCCGAGATCAGGAGTTTGAAGTCAGCTTGGGCAACAGCGAGATCCCATCTCTATAAAATGTATTATTTAAAAAAAAAAAGATAGCCGGGCGCGGTGGCTCAAGCCTGTAATCCCAGCACTTTGGGAGGCC